TGCTATTCAACTGCGGAGTTTCTTCAGAAAAATCGTAGTTTTACTTGAGTAAAATCACCTATTATTCTTAACCGGAACTTGGTAAAAATCACTTATGTGTCAGCATCGCAAAAGTACTGAAAAGTACTAGAAAGAGTATTAAAAATGGCGTCATTTACAAGACAAACCACTAAATCTATCAATCATCCATTAAACAATTATTTTTAATTCGTGATTGGCTACACACTAAGTCGCATAATTACAATGACCAATCGGAACACTTAACATCAGTCGCACTTCTCTTATAAATCTAGGACTTTACGGGGGCTCGGGGATAATTGAGGAACGACGACATTATTGACAATTAATAAAAATTTACGATTATTTACGATTTACGATACATAAATATTTTGATAATTTATTATTAAATTTATGATTTTTTATGATATAAATGCTGTATAAATAAATATGCATACTTTTAATGCTATAATATCTTATATATTTACCGAAAAATTACAATTTTTCCTCTGCGGTTATCATCTCTATTGATAATCAAACAGGATGATTACATTAAAATCACAGTTTTAAATAAAAATCGACAACTAATAAATCATCTATGTATATGTATATGTACAATATGAACAGATGTAGAACTTGACTAGTTGTTACAACTCGGAGTCTGGACCCTCGTTATTGCGAAAGATAATGGATGTCAGGATCGTTTAATTCGAATTTATCGTATGGTACTGTGACGTTGAATCGGAAATTCAGATCCAAGATTCCAAGGGGATCTCAAGAAGAAGAAGAAGAAAAAGAAGAAGAAGAAAAGAGGAAGAATAAGAGGAAGAAGAGGAGGAAGAAGAAGAGGAAGAAGAGGAAGAAGAAAAGGAGGAAGAAGAAGAGGAGGAAGAAGAAGAGGAGGAAGAAGAAGAGAAGGAAGAAGAGGAGAAAGAAGAGGAGGAAGAAAAAGAGGAGGAAGAAGAAGAGGAGGAGGAAGAAGAGGAAGAAGAAGAGAAAGAAAAAGAGGAGGAAGAAGAGGAGAAAGAAGAAGAGGAAGAAGAGGAGGAAGAAGAAGAAGAAGAAGAGAATAAATAATGATTATCTCGAGCAACCGAGAATATCAACCTAACGAGTACTTTAAATGTGATACTTTTTAAATGTGAAGCCTCTATCCCCTATAGACTATCACAGGATCTTTCGATCCCAATTCATCGCATATGTGGTGTACTGTGACTCTTTTTTTGGAGATCGGAAAATTAAATGGAGAAATCAGCTAGAAGAAGAATTTAATTGGTTTTCTCTCAAATCAATTGCGCAATCGCACTGTCGACGCGCGATTTTAATGCGCAGCGGCCGTCAAATCCAATGCTTAAAGAACGCACCCTTTGTGTGTGATAGCCTAGAGGCACCATGCACGTAAAATTCAAATTCAAATATCCGTCGGGACGCAATGAATGTTACTACTGGCGTACGAGTAAGAATATATGACGAGGAAAGGTGCATTCACGAGCACGAGACTGTCCGGTCTGATGGAGACGACCTGAGGACTTTAATACAGAATCTGCGGGATATGCAATCGGAGATCAACTGTTTTTTAACCACACTTATTCAACGGCGAGATGTGTCCAGTGGTACGCTTAATAGCTTGATTATACGAGTAATCATAAATAATTTTGTTCTCCTGTATAATTTATGTATACTTCGATTTTTGCAATTTGACAGAAATGATGAATCAATCGATCTCTTCGGACATTCATTCGGATTCCCTCGAAGAAGAGGAGGAGAAGGAAGAGAAGAAAGAAGACGAGATACGGACTAACCCCAAAAAATCCAAATTGTCTTAAATTGTGTAGTTCATTAATAAATATTACACTGTTAATACTTCAATATAGCGTACGAATGTCGGTTTTATAGATATGTTCTCATTTCCAATAGTAGTCATTTCCAATTGCATGATTCCGAAGCGTTATTTTTTTATCGAATTCTCTCTGTACCGATGACAGCTGGCTAGCGGCTAGAGTGCGATAACACGCGTTTCCTGCTTGAGAACAATAGCCGTTAACTGTCAAGTAACGACGACGAACGTGGCGGTGCGAACAGCCTGGCCAAGACCCCGCGTACACGACTCGGTAATTTGCCTACAGCACACCTGTCAAGTCAATTATTTTTCCATTTCCGTTCGATATTCTACATAGATATTTCTCAGATCGTCTAGCTACGTCTATCGAGAATGGCGTTCATAACCTAGCGAGAGCGCGTTCGCACAATCTTTTCCTCCGATATTACATACTGCTTCTATTCTTACGGCAATAAGAATATTTTTGTCGGCTAAATACTATTGTCACAGTTTGATTCATCTGATTACGAAAATGTGATATAAACAAAAAATGGAAAACTGGTAGTTGCATTTATTTATAAGTATATGTGTAGGAAATATAATTGCTCTCTAAAAAAAACTGTTTTTGTTTTTAAATGTTTGTTAAAAAATGTTATACATCTTTTTTCTTTATCTTTAAAGTGAATAAAAACGTATTCACGATAAACTTTATGTATCTTGTTTCTGCCAAAGTTTACAGCTGATTTTTGAAATCTTTGTTTTTAAGCGAGAATATGTCTACTATGTTGTCAAACGAGGCTCAACTGCGTTACATGATAGAATGGTTTCAAGAATGGTCCGAGATGCAGCGGAATGATTTTCTGGGCGTGTTGCTGGAGAATTGTGGTCCTGCAGGACTTGTGAATGGATTGGTAACTGGAATGGAGAAGTTGAATTGCGAATCTGACAGGCCACCTAGCTTGTTTCAGTGCCGCGTCAAGCTCTTCAGAGAATGGAGTAGCAATTGGTCGCAATACGAAAAGAATTCTTTGTTGGCAGCTATTAAGAATACAGACAGTAAGTTTGCTGAAATGTATGAAGAAAGATTATCATCATTAGGAGAAGATAAACAGTAATAAGCAAGCATTTTATGCTGTGTAACTTACAAATTCCAGACAGAGAGACATGTATTTCTGTTTTTTTAAATTAATATAAATTTAGGGCTTTTTATATT